TATATATATATATATATATGTATATTCACTATATTTTCAAAAAAATAAAAATATTAGGGTCTTAGAAATATTAAGATTGTATGCATTGTGCATACAACTTTAAGAGTAAAAAAAATCTCTATATTTTGTAATTATCGGCACTTATCATTGGAACTTCAACATATTCTATTTTGCAGTTGTATTTCATACATTATGTTACAAAGTAGGGGCAGTGGTCAACGACAATTAATAGACACTAGTCAGCGGTGTTCGACAAATAGTGGTTGACGACGACTGATGAAAAGTGATCAACAACGACTGATGAGCGTTGGGCGACGGTTATCAACGGTAATTAAGAGGTGGTGGTTGAGGGTGATCAATGAATACGGGTGTCAGAAGTTATCATTGGGTCTTAAGTCCATAACAAGTTATGAAATTCTTTTTTTTTTCCTTTTCTACCTTCATGTGAAGAGAGTCTATTTATATCTTATGAGCTAAGAGCATTTTGGTTTTTTGGCAAATAACTTCATCTATACCTGATCAAACAACCTATATTGATCCATCTTGATCATATCAGATTATTTAACGATTTCAGACTTTAGGGTGATCTTAGGCTCACTGGATTCCTCTTATTGAGACGCTCAACTTGAATATAAATATATCAATTTTTTGTTCCTAAAACCATTCAATTCAATATCCAAAGCCACAAAAAATTCTTTAGTGATTTGATTTGGGCTTGACTGGACTTAGGTTGTTCCAACTTTGATATTGATACGCCAACAACAAATTTTCATCATTCGACACGAATCTCGTCAAACTGATCAGCTCGATGAGATGGACCTAATGATATGAAAGTCAGTCTAATCTGAGTCAAATCAAGCTCAGATCAAAGCATTAAAACAGTATTGGATGATTTCCGGAAGCATTTGAAAGGTCAAAAGACTGTCGAATCTATCGAGTTTACATCTGAATCGAGCTTCTCGAAAAGACGAATCCAACGAGCCCAAGATTGTTCAATTCCGACATCGTTAAGGCACTCAAATGTCCATCAAACGTTATATGATCAAGGGAAGCTCTCCGGGCCGTCCGATCAAAATGGTTCATATTCCTGCATTAATTGCACTCAAAACTCTATAAATAGAGCCTCACCC